TAAAATTTTAATGAATTAATTTTTTGTTTAAATATTCCCACAAATTATGGAAATTTCAGCATACATCCGTTGGAAGAAATGTTCCTTAGAAATGACTAATCTAGGCCCCCTTTTAGAGTTTTTGCCATAACTCAACAGTTTTGGAGATATCACACCAAATTCAGAGACATATAAAAACTAAAATTTTAATGAATTATTTGTTTTTTAAATATTCCCACAAATTCTGGAAATTTCAGCATAACGCCATTGGAAAAATGTTCCTTAGAAACAACTACCCTATGCCCTCTTTGAGAATTTTTGCCATAACTCAATAGTTTTGGAGATATCACACCAAATTCAGAGACATCTAATAATTAAACTTTTAATAACATTTTTTGTTTAAAAATTCCTACAAATTCTGGAAATTTCAGCACACCTCCATTGGAAGAAGTGTTCCTTAGAAACAACTAAACTATGCCCGCTTTGAGAGTTTTTGCTATAACTCAATAGTTTTCGAGAGATCACACTAAATTCAAAAACATTAAAAAATTAAAATTTTTTATAATTTTTTTTATTTTCTTAAAATTAATTTGATAAATACCTGAACTATTTTAAGAATTTTCCTTGTGGTCTCTTTGGAAAAAGTGTTACTCGAAGAAAACCGCAACATAACTTCCTTGGAATTTTTCATCTTCACTCAATAGTTTTCGAGATATCATACCTTAGCTGGAAAGGCATCGAAATGTAAATTCCATTAAAATCCAAAAATGTTGCTATTTAAAATTACAAAAATTCCCATACTCTTTGTAGGATTTCGTATATGGTACCAAAGGAGAAAATATTCCTCTGAGAGATACCTCATAGACCTTACTTGAAAGTTTGTACCATAACTCAATAGAATTCGAATTATCTCACTTTGTTTGGCAACATATTAAAATGCAAATTTCAATAAAATAACATTTTTTCGACATTAAAGATAACTAAATTATGTCGTATTTTTTGCACAAAATCGTACTTAGTGCCAAAGGCAAAAATGTTCCTTAGAGAGAAATGGCATAGGTCACCTTTGACAATTTTTACCATAACTCCATAATATTCGAGTTATCACACCTTATTTGAGACATAAAAATTTAAATTTTCATTAAAATATGATATTTTTCCTCATAAAATTTCTCGTACTATTTGTACGAATACGCAGATAATGCCAATGGCAAAAATGTTCCTCCGAGAGCAAAATCATAGGTCACCTTTAAAAATTTGTTCCATAACTCTCTAGAATTTAAGTTATTAACCCTAACATGAAATGATATTAAAATGTAAATTGCATTAATATACCATATTTTTCCATATTAAATATGTTCAAAATTTTCGTACTATTTGTACGAATTCGTAGATCGTACCAATGTCAAAAATGTAACTCATAGGAAAATATCATGGGTCACCTTTAAAAACTTTTACCATAAATCAATAGAATTTGAGTTATCACACCAAATTTCATATGGTGTTTAAATGTAATTTTCCTCAAACTACAAATTATTTCAGAAGGCAAGTTTCCAAAGGCAAGAATGTTCCTCGGGGAGAAATATCATGGGTTACCATTCACTATTTTCCCAAAATCTCATTGGATTTCAAGATATCATACCTCTCTCGATGATAACACCAGGCTTCATTAAAAAAAGTCTGAGTTATCAAGAGGATTGAAGGCACTGAAACTCATAGAACTAGTAGGAATTTCCCAATGATGTCTTTGGAAAAAATGTTCCTTGATGCGATATACCCAAGGTCTCCCTTAAGCATTTTGACCATAACTTAAAGAGTTTCGAGATATAGCAACAATTCAAATGCAATCTTCATAAAAAGTGGTAAAAATCGGATGGAAATGATGTCATTAAAACTGGTGGAAATTGTGGGAATTTTCCGGAGGTGTGTATGGAAACAATATTCCTTGGTTAGAAATACCACAGGTCGTCTTTATATGATTTCCCCAAATCTCAATGGGTTTCGAGATATCAACATTATCAAAGAAGGATGTTAAGATAAATTTTTCAATAAAATGTAGCAAATTTTAATGAAATTTTAATAAATGCCTCAAAAGTCTTGGAATATGTGGATACTTCCCAATGGTATCAATGGGAAAAATGTTCCTCGGGGAAAACTGCCCCAGGTCTACCTTAAATATATTTCTCAAAATTCCATGGGTTTGGAGATATTTCCCTTTTTTTTAGGAATTTATGAACAAAAAACATGAAAATTATTCTTTGCAATTCCTCTCTTTATATTTTTGGCCATAACTCTATAATCAATTGAGAGATGATTTGTTTTAGAATTTTTTCTTTCTGAGTACCTTACTATCTCTGTGATTTATTGCCTATTTTCTGAGACACCCTGTATATATGTATAAAAAAAAGTTATAAAAAATAGTAATAATAATTGATTGTTAACCAAGAGTATAAATAATAACACATTTATATACAAGAACAAATAAACAAACAAAAACAAATAATTTTACAAAAAACAAAAAAAAAAATGATATTCTTAGTACCTATTACCCGAAAATGTAACAAATTGTAGTTTTTAACCAAAACCAAAATGAGACAAAGCGAAGATGAAAAAAAAAACACAAAAAAATATATAAAACCTAAATAAAATGAAAAAAAAAGAAAGAAAGACATGTTCCGATTAAAAACAAAAATTCAAAACAAATGTGAATAATATTAAAAATTTTAAGGTTAATTTTTTTTAATTTTTTTATTTTTTTTTATTTCCCAGGAAAAAGGTTTGTAAAAAATAATCATTTTGGGAATTTATGAAAAATATTCCAAAAATATAAGGACAAAAATGTAGAACTTTTTTTTAGTTTTTTTTTTTAATTTTTTATTTATTTTTTTTTTTAATATTTATTTATTTTTTTTTTTAATATTTATTTAATTTTTTTTTAATTTTGAATTTTTCTGTATAAAAAGTTTAAGGATTTTTTTAATAGAATTTTGATGTTTTTTAATAATAAAAAAAATAATATAAATAAAAAAAAAATGAAAATGTCTAAGTTTTTTAAACTTTTTTTTAATTTTAATCCTAATGATTAAAATAAATAGTTATTAAATTTAGATATGACATAAAATTTTCCTTCAATTACTTTTTTTTATGTTTTTTTTTTATTTTTTTTTCATTAAATTTTTATTTTTTTATGATTTTTTATTTTTTTATCATTTAATAATAAATATCATTATTTTTTCATGATTTTTTTTTATTTTCCAATATTTTGTAATTTTATTTAAAAAAAATAAAATATCCAAATTTCTTAATGATTATTATTTTATTTTTTTAATATTGAATTTTTCTACATAAAAAATTTTGATTTCGATTTTTTTAGTAATAAAAAATTTGATACAAAATTAAAAAAAAATATATATATGTAATTTTTTTAAAGATTTTTCTATTTTAATTGTAATGATTAAAATAAATAGTTATTAAATTTAGAGTATTGATATAAAATTTTCCTTCAATCAATTTAATTAATCCTTCAATCAATTAAATAAATAAATAAAATATCCAAGTTTCTTAATGATTATTATTTTTTTTAATATTTTTATTTATATTTTATTTTTTTTTTATTTGTATTTTTTTAATTATTTTTTGTTTATATTTAATTTTATTATTTATTTATTTATCTTTTATTTTTTCTTTATTATTTTTATTTTTTTAATATTTTTTTTTTTATTTTTTTAACTATTTTTATTTTTTTAATTATTATTTATTTTTTAAATTTTGAATTTTTTAACAGAATTCAGTTTTTTAATGATAAAAAAATAATATAAATTAAAAAAAATAAAAATAAAAAATGTTTTAAAACTTTTTCTAAATATCGTAATGATTAAAAGAAATAGTTATTTAATTTAGAACATTGTTTTAAAATTTTCCTTCAATTCTTTCATGATTTTTTTATATGTTTATTATTTTTTTTCATGATTTTTTATTTTGTTTATGATTTTGTTTTTATTATTGTTTATTATTTTTTCATGATTTTTTTTTATTAATTCTTTTTTTTATTTTTTCATGAATTTTTATATTATTTTTCCATTAATTTTTTTTTTATAATTTCTTCATGATTATTTTATATTTTTTTGATTTTTTTTTTAAATTTTTATTTAGTTTTTATGATATTTATTTATTTTTTCATGACTTTTTTATTTTTGTCATGAATTGTAATTGTAATGATTATTAAAAAAATCAAAAATATTTTTTTTTTAATTTTTATTTTTTTCTTAGTTTTAAAAAAAGAAAAAAACACTTGAAAATATTATTGCCTTGAATTTTTGTTTTTAATCGAATTGTAGTTTTTTTTTGACCATGTTCAATTACTGATGAATCGCCCCACCACTACCCCCTTGGATTAGAAATCCCCACCTTGTTCTCCCGCCCAGTTTTCATCCTCTCCCTAATTCCCTCTCCCCATAAAATACTTCCTAAAGGATCTGCGAAACAATGAGATTTTATTTATAAATTTTATGTAAAGGAAGAATATTGAAAACCTAACCTAACTTTTAGACAGACCGAAAAAAACTGAAAGAAATTAGAATTAAAAAAAAAAATATTAATTAATATACAAAAAATAAAAAAACAACAACAAGAACAAGAACGTAATAGGTAAAACGTTTATATATACATATATATATTATGTTTAGTATAACAGTAATAAAAAAATTGAAAACGCAAAAACATGATGAAAACGTATTTAATTTTGAGAACAACAAATAAAAAATGGAAAATTTCAAAATAAAACGAGAAAAAAAAAAAAAAAAAAATTGTGTTTTATTTCAAAATAAAAAAATGAAAGAAAAATATTTGGCCGGGGGTGTAACTTCAAAAGAAATTTTGGAAATCAAAAGTAGGTATTATTTTGAATTTTTTAATTTAATTTAACACTTAATTTTTAATGCTAACCAAAATTAATTTTTTCTAAATTTATTTTCAAATTTTTTTATTAACAATTTTTCTTTCTTTTTCTTTTTTTATTTTAGGCCACCTGGAGTTCTTTAACCTCACCAGCAATTCCCTGAAGGAGAACAAAACTCAGGACAACACTGATGCCTTTATTGTGATGGTTGAAGATTTGGCGGATTTGAATCGAGCCTCATTGGCCTCTGAGGTGGCGGCGCCAGTGGGATTCAATGATGCGCCATCTACCTCTCATGTGGGGCCCATGCGTTGTGCCAGCTTGGATTCTTGCCTATCACGTGATCAATTTTTAATCTCCATGGTCAATGAGTTTCTCAACGATGGCGATGACACGGTCATGGATGAGTCGAGTACAGGTCCAAAATCTACGCCCCTGAATATTGTCGAGTATATGGAGGAGTCGAATCAAAATGAGGTGGAAAGTCTCATGGATTTCCATCACATCAAGGAGTTGCAGGCCGACGCCATGGTATCACCGCCCAGGAATGAGGACAACACAACATCTCCCATTGAAATTGTGATGCCATGCGATTCACCGCCTTCGTTGTTTGTCAACATGCCAGCATTGCAGACAGTCATTGCAACGCCATCTACAGTTAGTTTCCCTAATTCCAGTACATCTGTGACAAAATCTAGCACACCTATAAGTACAACCTCCTCCACGGCCACCCCTACCGCCGCCAAAACTTCCTCTACCACCACGAAGACCACCACCTCCTCCAAATCATCCACGTTAATGGTACCCGATCGGTCCCATGAACCGCCCACCATATTGTTGAACTTGAAAAATGACACCATTCCCACAAATCTAAGAGAAATTTCCTATCAGCGATTTGGACGCATAAATCGCAACCTACCAGCCGAGGTGCATAACTTCCGATGCCATTTGTGTGCTTTCTCGTGTAAACGCAAGGAGCTGCTACTGCAACATTTCCGAGAGAGGCATCCAACCTAAAAAAGAGAAGAAAGAGCAAACCCACACAAACTCTCTCCCAAAGTGGTAAATAAACTAAGAAAAACACAAAACTGAACTTTAAAACAAATGAATTCTTAAAAAAAATTCTTAATTTTCCCAAAAATTAATACAACAAATAATTAACTAATTATGTTTGAAAAAATATATATGTTTTGGAGATATTATCTCAATAAAGTTTCAATTTCATTTCAAAATAAAAAAAATCTCCAAAATTGTTTTCATTTCCAAAAAATATGGTTAGGACACGCAAATCAACTCAAGTCAGGTCAATTGTTGTTAACAACGATTGCTACCGTAACAATTTTTTATTGGAAAACAGTAGACGGTACTACCTGCGACTGTTTTGCGTTACAATTTCTCTCTCTCTCTCCCATTCAATGATATTTTTACACAAATATTTTCTCAATTAGACACTCCAAATCTTTTCCTTTGATGGTAAGCATTTTTTGTTTTTATTTGAAAAAAAAATTGAAAATTTTAATTACATAAGAAAATTGTTTTAAAAAAATTAGAAATTAAAAAAAATATTTTTTTTTAAACCAATTTGATTGCTTTTTTCCTGATTATTTTTTTATAATTTTTAGTCATTTAAAAAATAGAAAATTAGTAAAAATATAGGACAATTGTTCATATAGGAACCGATTATAAATGATTTTTAATTATGTTTACATATTATTTTGTAGAACTATTTTAAAATTCTTGTTTTTTTCCGATTTTTTTTTAAATAGAAAAATGTAGTCAGTTGTTTTTTTTTAAGTTTGAAAAATACTGAATAATTTTTATTATTTAATTTTTTATATTATCTTTTTTTTTGTTTTTAATTTGACTCGGAATGCGAAAAGATTTTTTTTTCAGAATTTATTTCTCTTTTTGAAACTAAGATACAAGTTTTTTTTAATTATTTGAAATATTATTTTTTTTTCATTATTTTTGTAGAATTATTTAAAAATTCTTGGTTTTTTAAATGTTTTTTTTTTTTTTTGGTAGAATTATTTTAAAATTTTTGTTTTTTTAATATTTTTTTTTTTAATGGAAAAAAGTAGACAATTACATTTTTTAAGTTTGAAGATTTATTAAATATTGTTTTTAAATTTGTTTTTTGTAGTTTTTACATTTTAATATTTTTAATATAGGTATATATATTTTTTTAATTTGACTCGGGATTCGAAAAAATTGTTTTCAGATTTTTTTTCTCTTTGAAACTAGGGTACAATTTTTTATACTCAGGAAATGGGGCATATGCAACGCCTTGAAATATTATTTAAACATTTCATGGACAGTTCTAGTTCGAAAATGGAATTGAGGATTTTGCAGGTTGTCGTCAGTCTACTTTTATTTCTTAAAAAGGGAAAAACCTCCTTTATGGAAATTGGTCAAGTTTTTTTCGAATAGAAATTCGAATAGAAATTTCACAAAAGTTAATAATTTCTCAAAATTAATAGCAATTCTGAGAATATTTTTTTTTATTTTTTTTAATTTAATATTTCTTTTAAATTCAATATTTTTTTAAATTTAATATATTTTTTTTTAAATTATTTAATTATATTTTTTTCGAATGAAATTTCCTATAATTTAATAATAATTCTTAGAAGATTTTTATTATTATTTTTTTATTTTTTTTTTAAATTTTAATATTTTTTTTTATTAAATATTTTTTTTTATATTTTTTTTGTCTCAATTTTTCATACAGAAATTCTTTTTTAAGAATTTTAAATTACTTTATTCTATTTTTTTATACCTTCCACCTTGGAAATCGATTGCAATGTTCGGTATTTCAATGTTTCAATGTCAATGTTCGTTTTTTCGATGGCTTTAGCCAATTTTTTTCACGAATTCCTGTTATTTTATCTCCTGTAAGAGAGTATTTTCTATATAAGTTAACGTTTTCATATAGCCCTCAGTACCTCCGGATAATCGGTATTAGATAAGTTTAAACACTTTTTTCACGAATTTTATTCCAAAAATTTATTTTTGGTATTTGTAGTTCGTAATAGGTTCTATCTCCTGTAACAGAGTATTGTCTATATAAGTTAATGTTTTTATATAGACCACATATAAGAGTACCTCCCGATATTTGATGATTTTTGTAGTTTGACATGGGTTCTACCTCCCGATATTCGGAATTTTGATGATTTTAATCACTTTATTTTACAAATTTTGTTTTAATTTGGTGCTTAGATTTTGTCACAGGTACTACTTTCTGTGGCAGAACAATGCCATATGTTTTAAAATGCCATTATATTTTAAATATTATTTTCTTTACAATTTTTTTTTAATTAAACAATTTATGCCAATTTTAGTTGCATTGTATTTTTATAAGCATTTACATTTAATTTTGTAATATTTTTTTACTATGGCCTAATTACTTGTTTTCACCAATATTTTTTTTTGTTTTTTATTAATATTTTTTTAGAATTTTTTATCTTTTAAGAAATTTATTTATTTTTTTTTTTTAAATTAGTGTTTATAAAAATCCCTACTTTGGATATATTGTGGCATTTAAAGCCATTAATTTTAGTTAATCTTTAATCTGAGCTTTTCATAGTTTCAACATTTTATTTTCCGATACTTAAACAAAATTAGCAAATTTTAAATTATTATACCATATAGAAAACAATGAAGGAATTTTTATAATATTGAGAGAAATTTTCGGCACACATTTTAAAATTGAATAAGGGCCAAAAAGATTTTTTTAAACTCCTTACAACTAGGGGTTTATTTCAGATATAGTAAAGTTTTCAAATATAGCCACATTTTTCTAAATGTCCCTTTAAAATTCAACATCTTGTCTTGCCATATCTGATTTTAATCTGTAGTATTCCAAGAAAAAGTATTTTTTTTTTCGAACATCTTTGCTTTGATTTGTAATCGCGAACTCTTTTCATACGCTCCTCTCACACACATACCTTCATGGAATCACAGTATTAAATATATGCTTTGATTTGTTTTTTAGTATTGCCATTTTAAGTCTGGATCATGCTGAAGTAATTTTCGAATTTGTATTTTTGCTTTGCTTTTATTGAAAAAAGTTGTCTTAAATAAAATATTTGGATTTTATTTTAAATATACATTTTTTGTTCTCTATTTTATTATCTATTTATTACATTATTATATTCTAAAATTATTTATTAAAATCCAAAATTATTTACAAATATTATTTTTGAAGAATTAAAGATTTTGTTGAAAAAATGATAAATATAAATACAAATATTCTAAAAAATAATTCTTTGAAACAAAATATATTAAAATCGTTTCAAAAAAAAAAAAATAAATAAATAAATAAATAATAATAATAAATAAATAAAAAAATTAATAATTAAAAAAATAAAATTATAATAAATAAATAAATAAAACGAATAACAAATAATAATAAAAAATGAAATATATAAAAAATAAAATAAATAAATTAAAAAGGATAAAATAAACAAAATAAAATAAATAAAATAGATAAAATAAATAAAAAATAAATTAAAATAAATAAAAAAAAAACAAATAGAATAAATAAAATAAAAAATTAAATAAACAAAATAAAATTAAATAAAATAAATTAAATAAATAAATAATAATAAATATATAAAATAAACTAAATAAATTATATAAAATAAAATGACGTAAAATAAATAAATGAAATAAATACATAAATGAATAAAAAATAATAATAAATAATTAAAATTAAATAAAATAAATAAAAGAAATGAATAAATAAAAATTAAAATAAACAAAAATAAAATAAAATAAAAAAATAAAAAAGTAAATAAATAAAAAATAGTAAAATAAAATAATAATAAATAATTAAAATTAAATAAAATAAATAAAAGAAATGAATAAATAAAATAATAAATAAATAATAATGAATAAATAAAAGAATAAAATAAATTTAATTAAAGAAATAAATAAAACAAATAAATAATAAATTAAATTAATAATTAAATGAAAAATAAAAATAAAATAAATAAATAAAGTTAATAATTAAATTAAATAAATATATATAAAAAACAAAATAACATAATTTAAACATAATTAAAAAATCTAATAGAAATGTCAAAGGTACCAAAAAAGAAAACACTATAAGACAAGTTTTTACTACAAAAAAAATAATAATAATAATAATACAAAATAAGCATAAATTATATTAAAAAAAATCAAAAATGTTAATAATAAAAACAAATAAAAAAATTGCAATATATTTAAAAAAAAGTCGAAAGTTATTGAATATTATAAATTGATTATTATTATATTATATCATTGTTATTATTATTATTATTATTATTATTTTTATTATTATTATTATTATTATTATTATTATTATTATTATTATTATTTTTATTATTATTGTTATTATTATTATTATTATTATTTTATTATTATTATTATTATTATTATTATTATTATTATTATTATTATTATTATTATTATTATTATTATTATTATTATTTTATTATTATTATTATTATTATTATTATTATTATTATTATTATTATTATTATTATTATTATTATTATTATTATTATTATTATTATTATTATTATTATTATTATTATTATTATTGTTATTATTGTTATTATTATTTTATTATTATTATTATTATTATTATTATTATTATTATTGTTATTATTATTATTATTATTATTATTTTTATTATTATTATTATTATTATTATTTTTATTATTATTGTTATTATTATTATTATTATTATTTTTATTATTATTATTATTATTATTATTATTATTATTATTATTATTATTATTATTATTTTTATTATTATTATTATTATTATTATTATTATTATTATTATTATTATTATTATTATTATTATTATTTTTATTATTATTATTATTATTATTATTATTATTATTATTATTATTATTATTATTATTATTATTTTTATTATTATTATTATTATTATTATTATTATTATTATTATTATTATTATTATTATTATTATTATTATTATTATTATTATTACAATTACAATTATCATTATTATTATCAGTATTTTCTTTTCTATTTATTTATTGTATTTTTTAATTTCTATATTGTTATAGGCCATTTTTCAGTTTTTAATAATTTTTTGGTATTTTATATTTTTTATTAATTTTTTTATTTACCTTTTTAATTTCTGTA